TGGGCCTATAAATATGAGCCAAAGGCCTCCATTTTAGAGGCGAGACATTAAGAGGGCGAAATGCTACCGAATTAGAGAGTGGAGCCACGAATTTACAGCAAGGGTTAGCAGATCTTGGCGATCTCCTGTGCATAAAGAGTGGAGTTCGAGAGATTCAAGACTCGTCCCCTATTCCTCCGGATTTAAGCTTAGTCTTAAATCTCGAGAAGAGCCGTGATCTCTCTTGGTCGAGATCATCGCTGCAGCGATTACTTCCTTCGTGAAGTAAGAGCTTTGATTGCCAATCTGTCAACCGGATCTGATCCGTGGCGGTCCACGGATATTAACATCCCCAGCACAGACAAAGTTTCCACACAAGCAACGGGTGATAAACGTCTGTTGCGCTGTTTGACAAGAGTCGTATTTTTGTATTTTCATTGTATAAGGAGATCTTATAAAAAGATCAACTTTTTATTTGAGTTTATTGTAAACGATTAAAGTTGTAATAGATTCAATCACAATAAAAACAACGATTTTTGACCCAAACAGTTGCCTGGTGGGTACTTTGATGTTGTTGTTGCCTGTTAGTGTTGTTGGCTGGTTGTAAGCCTGCTTGTTTCTTGATGTTGTTGGCTGGTTATGAGCCTGCTTGTTTCTTGATGTTGTTGGCTGGTTGGTACTTGATGTTGTTGTTGGCTGGTGGTGTTGTTGCCTGGTTGGTACTTGATGTTGTTGTTGGCTGTTAGTGTTGTTGGCTGGTTCGTGAGATTTGTGTGCAGACACTTATTCTGGGTTGTTTGTGTTTAGGCACATATATCTGCATTCATAATCATGTTTGTTCTGTTATGTCCTTACTATTTGTGTACCTTTTAACAGTGCATGTGATTTTCATGCACAATCTTGTTATGTTATGAGCCAGGTTATGTTCAGCTGAATTTGATTATTTTGATATTGTTTACGGATGTTCAAATTAGGCTATGATGCTTTTCAATTTATCTGAGATTAGCAACCTGCAATATCTGTTGATATTACACTGGATGGCTAACAATGATGGTATTGAACAAGTTCTGAGCCCACAGCCATAATTCACATATACATATGGTTGATTTATTTGACATGATGTTGGCTTTGTCTGTCATCTTATTGCTGGTCTACCATGCCCTACAGTAGCTGTAGGCTTTGTCCTCTACGGTCGTTGTCTTGTAAGTGTTAGTTTTTCTATATAATACATTTTACTTCAATCATATGTTAATTAAAATTCTTTTTTCACGTTTATTTCTTTTACTACAATCATATGGTAATTAGCATTATTGCTTCATGTTTATTTCTTTTTCTTGTTCTGTCATGCTTTGCTCAAAAAAATTTGTTCATCTGAAACAATGCCTTTAGGCTCCAATATAGCCACTTGGTATGGAGAAAAAAATTAAAAATTCATGCTTACTATTCATGCTTCTAAACTACCAACAAATTAGACAAATTAGACGTCTTTATGATACTAGTTCACTTTCATAATATTATTGATCTCTGTGTTATCATCTATTTTATGCGTTAGGTGCTCCAAGAGAGAGGGGAGAGCACATCACACCATGGTCGTGCTACCTGGTCGAGTGGTGAAGATCATGTCAAACCTCAAATTGCATGAAGGTCTAGAGATACCTTTAAGTATACCACTTGCAAAAGTTATATTGGTCTTGTATAGATGCTCATATCTAATTTAGAAACTTTGTATGCAGATAAAATCTCATATAAAGGATTGTAACAATTCATAATATTACAAGTTTTTATAGGTTTCAGATTGTTATATACATATTTATGGCTATTTGCTATGTTATATACATATTTATGGCTATTCAGGTTGTTTATATATTTTTATAGGTTTCAGCAGTTTTTTTGGATAATTCATGCAACTTAACTAAATAATTTTTTGAATAACCAAGTTAGTACAGGTTTCGTGTAATTTTTTCAATCTGAAACATGTATATTTCAAGTCAAATCAAGTACGTAATTCATAGCAATTGATTCACATTATTTCAGGTTTCGTATGATTTCATTAATACAAACATAAATTTACAATTCATTTGGGATATTATTATTTGTTCATGTTACATTCGAACTTTTATATGATTAAGATTACATCATATAACGAGCACAAATAAATTTGTATATAGTGGGGGTAATCTTAACATGATGACCATAAACACTTTTCACTACAAACTTCAAAACCAAACGAAACAATAAAAGTAGAAAATGTCATATCAACAAAAGTTTTCCCTTTTTTCTATGTGAACCAAACACAAAAAAATAAATACATTGGTTTCCCATCATTTTTTTGTGCGAACCAAAGCGAAACAATCTATTTCTTGGAAAAGTTTGGAAAACTCAAAACTTGTGTTTTTGTACATGGAAATATATTTTCCTATATCTAGGAAACAAACCAAACAGCCCCTTATAATAAATTATATTATTTATTGCATAATATAATAATATTTTATATATTATATTATATTTACTATATAATATGTTATTATAATATTATTATATTGTTATATTATTATTATATATGTTACTATTATATAATATTTCATAATTAATATGTTACTATATTATTATATAAAATATTTTATTTATTATTATTTTATATTATTTAAAAAATATTACTAATATATTAAATTAACTATAATATAGTATAGTATATTATAGTATAATATAATAAGAATGTTGATAATAACTCTATAATAATTATATTAAATATATTATGTTAGATGTTATATTAACACATTCTTAAACTCAAACCTAAAACACCAAACTTAAAACACCTAAAAGGTGTTTTGAAATAAGTGTTTTGTTTTTGTTTTGATGATGATTTAGCTAAAAAAACATCATGGTTTTCAAACGCATGATGTTTTATTTTTGACAAAAACACCATGAAAACAAGTAAAACACAATGGTATCCAAACGGAGCCTTAAAGATTCTCACGTAGTTTCTTCAACTTTCTATCTATCTTTTTCTTTGTTAATTTTACAGGCCTAGACTCACTTTGCAATGTCAAGGTTTGATAAACTTACTTGAAAACAAATTAGATCGGGGAGAGCATAGTCTAAAGAAATATCGGGTTTTTAAGTTTTTGTGAAACCTTCAAAGAGGACGTGGGGGTTTCTTAGAAGAGAGGGAAAAACTTAAGGGGTTTCAATATTGTTAAAGTTAATCTGTTTGGATTGTTAATAGTATTGGTTGATTCAGTGAGTCTTACAATTAAAATAATTTTTTATAATTTAAATCGAGACTATCATCTATTGGGTCTATAGATTTAAGGAGATGTGATTCATGAGTTGTAGAGGCTCTCTACAACTAAGGATATAGAAGATCTCTACCCTTTTGGATGAAAAATAATAGAAGTTAGGAGATGTGAAATGAACATTTAATCTATTTGCAAGTTTTCTCGAGGGGTGGGGCGAGAATTTACATCCAAAATGGTTTGATTTTGTTCATCTGAAATCAGGCGGTAATGGAGGGGAATTGATCATAAAATTTTTAATGTGTACAGATGATTTTGCTCTTTATCTGAGATTTGATTTTAAAGCTATTCTATTCTCTTTCCTTTACGTTCGTAAATGTTTGGGTCAAAAGTTGATGTTTTCATTGTCATCGAATCTATTACAACTTTGGTCGTTACAATAAACTCAAATAAACGAGAAAAGGTCGATCTTTTTATAAGATCTCTTTATACAATAAAAATATAAAAAGTATAACTCTTATCAAACAGCGTAACGACCATTTATCACCCGCTGCTTGCGTGAGAACTTTGTCTGTGCCGGGGACGTTAATATCTGTGGACCGCCGCGGATCAGATCCGGTTGACAGAATAAGTTGATCAAAGCTCTTACTTCACGAAGAAAGCATTCCCTGCAGAGATAATCTCGACCAAGCGAGATTAAGACTAAGCTTAAATCCGGAGGAATATGGTACGTGTCTCAGATCTCTCAAACTCCACTCTTTATGCACATGAACTCGCTAAGATCTGCTAACCCTTGCTGTAAATTCGTGGCTCCACTCTCCAATTCGGCAGCGTTTCGCCCTCTTGATCCTCTCCCCGTGAAATGAACCCTAGGCCTGTATTTATAGGCTTCAGTTGGGGGTTTTCGGATAAGAATGATGGATTTGATCATATTTTCAGTCAATAATGGCCTAGCCATGTTTGTGGATGATACCAAGTCAGTTGGGAACCCATGGAACAGATAAATCCCGCGAAAACCGCTTTAAAACCGTCGAAAACAAGTTTCGGGCTCTGGACTGCGCGACGGGCCCTGATGACCCGGAGGGGGGGGGTCGGCAAGATCTGACCCACGCTTGCGCGGGTCGGATGCGACCGACCCGTGCTTGCGTGGCAAGTTTGGCCTTTCCTGAACTTTTTGGTATTTTCCGATTTTCCGGGACTTGTATTTTCTGCCGTTTTGCGTATTTGATCGTCTTGTTGGCTTGAATGCGTCGTTAACTCGCTTCATGTGTTCGTTAGCTTCTTTACGGTATTCGGAGCTGACCGACAAGCGCGTCGGGCACTTTGGATCTAACCGACAAGTACGTCGGACACTTTGGATTTGATCGACAAGTACGTCAGACACTTTGGATCTGACCGACAAGTACGTCGGATATTTTGGATCTGACCGACACGCACGAGCTGACTGGCGAGTGTGTTCGGTCACTTGGAGCTAACTAGGGCGTGCGAGCTGACTAACGAGCGTGACGGCCAATTGGAGGTGGCCGGTGAGCGTACGAAACGCAGTTGGTTCGCCATTGCAGTTCATACACTTGTCGGCATCAGATAATCCTCCTAGACTCGGATAACGACGTTCGTCATCTTCTCTCTATCTCGAGCTGTGTACGAATACTTATAAGCATTTTTAGACGCCTGCAGTAAAAACTCTTAAACAGGATGAAATAAATTTCCATCTTATAGTCTGTCTACTAATCTCCAAAAACATTATATATTTGCCTCCACTCCTTTATTTTCCCTCCTTCCATCTTATCACTTTGGAAAGAAAAAAAAATCCCAAAGTTTTAACAACCAACATCTATTCAACCAGGCTCTTTCAGGGATTAGATTCCGGACCGAGTTATAAAAACAAACAAACAAACAAACCATATAAACTCCAAACAATCGATTAAATAGCGTAGAACAAAGTAGTTGCGACGCCTGACCAGCATCTCGCTGCCCAAGTTTCAACAGCGCTCGCTTGCTCTTCTCTTCATCATTCGTTGCCCCTCTCAACAACCCCCAACACGTCTCTTCATCCCCAGAAAAGAAAGGAGAGAGAAAAAGAATGGGAGATGATAATCTCAGCGCCAAGCTTCTCCACTCTAGAGAGAGAGAGGAGCAAGGAGAGAACAACGAGGAGATCAACTTGAGGGAGAAGCTTGCGGATGAGAACAAAAAGTTATGGGTAGTTGCAGCTCCATCAATCTTTACTCGCTTTTCGACGTTCGGCGTCAGCGTTATAAGCCAGGCATTTATCGGTCATATCGGTCCTACAGAGCTGGCAGCCTATGCGCTTGTGGGCACCGTCGTCCTTCGCCTCGCCAATGGATTGTTGGTTCGTTCTCTTTAATTTGCCTTTCTTGATTTCATAGCCATTAACGTATTTGAATTTTTCTTCTTTATGGAAATTTTGTATTGATTTTGGACTTGGGTTTTGGGTTCTGAAAATGGGTGATTTATTTGCTGCTCATCACCTTTTCTGATCCTCAACTTCATTACTAATTTGAATCCTGATTGCTTGATACCTCTCTCTTCTTTTTTTATTTTTTTAAGTTCTCTTGACCCAAAACTTCTGCTTTCTTTTAGAGCACGTGATTGTACTATCTTTTTGCGCTCCCCTCAACTTCATTATAATTTGTATAAAAGCTTGCGGTTTTCTTTAATTTTTTTTTTTTTTTGCTTAATTTATGCACACCCAAAACTGAAAGCCCTCATTTTTGGGCTTAGAATTAATGTACATCACCGTGATTTCAGGATGATACAACATAAAAAAGGGACTTAAGATTTCTAATACGTATGATATTTAGGTTCCTCAACGTCCTTACTAATTTACATTTGATTTTGATTTGTATAAAATCTAGCTTGCATATTTCTTTTCTTTTTTTAAGTCAGTTCTGGTCTTTGGATCAAAATATTGCATACTTATTTCTGAAGAAGATGTGGGTAGTTTTAAATTTCGAACAACTATGGTAATTTAAAAAAAAAAGTAAAAAGAAGAAGAAGAAGACAGTTCAAACAGTTGACACGTAGACATTAATAAGGGAGAGGTAGCCTGGTCCACGCCATTTATGGGATTTAGAGACCTGTCAGCTATACCTATCCTTTTATATCAATCTGTGGCCTCAAGCGGTGCCCTGCGATTGGGACCATGTTTAATGAATCTTGCTGTTGTGCTTGATGACGAAAGTGGATGCACGACCACGCAACCGCTCCAGGCCCCAGTAAGGAGCAATCTTTGACTGCTCATATTAAAAAAAAAAAAAAGTATTTGATGGTGGGATTACCGTAATAGCTTTTCCTTCTATTTTTACTATTAGATAAACAAACAAGTGCTAGTTTGGGCAACAAGAGTTATGGGCTAAGAGTTTTAGAAGAGCTTAATAGTAAATATATAGAATTAACTGAGGTTTTCTTGGTTGTTTGTATTGAGAAAGAGTAATAATTCTATCTAGGCTAAATTGCAAAAAAAAAAGCCCTATTGTTTCACTAAGGGGCTGTTTGGTTGCACACTTTTTGAGAAAACTTTTCTCAAAACATCTGATAATGGCAAATTTGTAATTAAAAGTTTTCCAGAGATTTCTGTAAATTGTGTTTGGTTCAACAAAAAATTTACAGAAATATTTTCTATAAAATATCAAAACCTACCAAATTTTACAAAAAGCAATTTCCTCTCAAAATGAGAGGAAATCACCAGAAATCTGACACATACCATATTCAGGGGCGGATCCAGGATTTTAGTTCTGGGGGGGCCACGTACAAAAGATAGATAAAAAAATTTCTTAATATAATTTTATTCACAAGAGATATACCACAACCCAAATAAAATGATTAGAATAGCCAACATCAATATCTCCAAAATATTGCACAAGTACGATCACTCTAAAAATGAGGTCGTATGTAGCAGATTTATTAGTCTTTACCAACCATTGACACAACTCAGAAATGGTTGAAAGAGTTTTGAAGTCTGACCCTTTGACTACATTATGCTCATAATGTTTCAGTTGCATCTTCAAACTCTCTTTTTCTTCACTTGTAAAATCTTGTGCATAAAACTTGACAATAATGCTCTTTTCTTGAATGAATCCATTAGTGTCCACAAACCGCAACACAATAGACATTTGCTCTTTTTTTTGACTCATCACGGGCTTCATCAACAATAATGCAATACTTGGCAACTCCAATTTCTTCACGAATTGCATTTTTCAATCTCAGTGAAAACACATGAAGTATTTGTTTTTGAATATCATGAGTTGTATATTTGGCATTTTGGGAGCTTTCGCAATTGCCTTTGAAAATTCGTCATTCTCCATGGCCAGCACATCCAAAAATTCAAGAAAATTGCCACGATTGGACGAACTAGATTTCTCATCGTGGCCTCTAAACGGAATCCCTTGGAGTGCAAGCAATCGCACCACAAGTACGTGAGCTCTTAACCGAAGACGATTTGTTGCAACTTGTTCAACATTGAAGTTGTCGAATCGCCTTGATATATGCTGCGGTTGGTTCATCAAATCCTCACATGCCTTTTCAGCATTACGATGGGGTGAAGATACATTATCTTTTCCTATTTCAATGAAACCCCCTTTATTAATCCCTTAAGAATAACCCCCTTTATTAATAAACCCCCTTAAGAATAACCATTCGCTAAATACCTCTTCATAAATTTCTAATTTCAATGAAACCCCCTTTATTAATCTTGTTGCTGCTCATGGTAATGTATTTACTATTAATATATACATAAAACCCCTCAAATAATTAATATTCACAAACTAATTTTTTTCCCAAATTAGGAATAGAGCACCCTAATTTTCTCCCCCAAAATTTTGAAGGGGCTTGAGGAATAGAGCACCCTAATTTTTTTTCCCAAATTTTGGGGGGCCGTGGCCCCCCCTGGACTGTATGTAGATCCTCCCCTGACCATATTTAATTAAAAACCTACCAAATCTTGTTATTTTCTATAAAGTTATGAGCTATTTTCTTGTTTTGAACCAAACAAGCAAAGTACAAAAAACAAGAAAATTGATACTTTTTTATTTCTCAAAACTTTTCCTATAATTTTTTTAAGAAATACAAGGAAATCATATTTTAGGTGGAAAACATTTCCTATAATTTCTAGAAATTGAACCAAACACCCCCTAACATTGCAAAAAAGTAACCTTGATTTGTTTTAAAACCTTGCGAAAAAAAAATGACCTGAAGTTCCCGCACCTTGCAAATAAATTCCCCAAAGTTAAAAATATGCTGGACATTAATACCCTAAAGTTTTGAAAAGGTTGCAAATCGATGCCCACCATCATATAGCTATTAGAATACACTGGGAATATACCCACGTGAGCTGTCATCTATTGTTTTTGAATAGTTGAATGACACTAAAGTTGATTTAAATTACAATAGAACCACCTCTTCTTATATTACTTGTCAGGGCAGTTTCGTCTTTATGCAATTTAGCCTTCTATCTATTTGCAGGAGTTATGGAGTAAGAGTTGTGCTTAAATTTGGTGGTCTTATTAGAGAAACAATCCAGCCAACATGGTTCATAGCATTAATAGCATTAATAGTGCACCAAAGTGATATCAACTCTTGGATGTTGGGACGTCGGGGGCATGTGCATTCGTATGAGGGATGATATCCCTTTGGTGCACTATTGATCCAATATACCAGGTGCATTGCGCGCTTCTCGTTTTGTGGGGGTGGTATTAGGTGGTCTCAAGGTAACAATAAACCCATCAGTGCACTCTTCAACTCTTGGATTTTTAAGGTTGTTCGGAAAGACTTTCGAAGAGTGTAGCTCAGGCTCTCTGCATTTGTCAAATGCAGATTATGGGCTGTAAAGAATTTTAGGGCCTTGGGGAGCAACAGGGGAGGGAGGGGTTTCCATAACGCAGAGGGGCCGCAATGGGAAGGCAAGAGTTCTATCACTTCCCTAAATGACTAATAACTTGCCTTTTTCTTGAAAAGTATATTAGAAACTAAAACCACCTTATACTGAAGGAATGAGTAAAAATTTTCTTTGCTATATAAGACAAAAAGGTAAAATATTGAAGATAAATATATTTTGAAAACTATTGATTTTAGGGGCTGTTTGTTTGCCCAAAAAATGAGGAAATGGGGTGCCACATGGGATTTAGGGAAATGTCAATAGTGCCACATCAGATTTTGGTTTCAAGGGATTTCCAAATCACAAGTTTGTTTCGTTGTGTGATTTAAAGAAATGAGGGTACCACTTAGGATACCACGTCAGATTTTGGAGGAAACCCATTTCATACCAAAACCCTCTGAAATGGGTGGAAATGTCACATCGGGCAATATTTAATTGCCCAAAACACTGTTGAAACGGCGGATGAATATTAAAAGGTAATATTTAAATGCTGAAATCACTATTAAAACGACGGCTGAGTTCTTTTTTTTTTGTTCAAACAAACCCAAGAAATGAAAATGTAGGATTAAAAAGCAATATTTAAATGCTGAAATCACTATTGAAACGACGGCTGAATTTTCCATTTGTTTGATTTCAATGTGAAACAAACGAAATAAAGGAAATACGGGAAACCCTCTGAAATGTCCTGAAATGGGTTTTCAAACACTGTTTTCCATTTCTTCTTTTTTTTCGGAAATGTACCAATCAGAAACCAACTGAAGTTACCCTGACACCTCATGTGGGCTCCGCTCATGCGTCTGACACTTCCCGTACCTTACTCATGCTCCTTGGACGCTCCTTGGACACTCCTTGGACATATGTATATATTTATTCAGATGTGTGCTCAATTATATTATATATGTTTAAGTTCTAGAGAACATAAGTCCATGGCTCGTGCCCTGAAAATATTTTCTCTGGTGGATTCAAAATTTATGGCCTATGTTGTTTAAATTATAAATCAGCTTGTAACCTCACTTCCTACTACTACTTTGCAGTTGGGCATGGCAAGTGCACTTGAAACTCTTTGCGGACAATCTTTTGGTGCAAAGCAATACTACATGTTAGGTGTTTACTTACAAAGATCATGGATCATCTTATTCATAACAACCCTAGTTATCCTTCCTCTATTCATCTTCTCAACTCCACTCCTCATTCTCCTCGGTCAAGACGAGGAAGTTGCCAAAATGGCTGGAGTAATCTCCAAGTGGTTCATCCCGTTCGTGTTTTCCTATATGTGGTCCTTCAGCCTTCAGATGTACCTCCAGGCACAGAGCAAGAACCAAATCATCAGTTATCTTGCTTTCTTGACGCTTGTTATCCATGTTAGCCTCTCCTGGCTCCTGACTGTAAAGCTGGGGCTTGGGCTTGCTGGTGTAATGAGCTCGATGATAGTGGCAATGTGGATCCCTGTGTTAGGCCAGCTGGGGTTTGTATTCTTTGGAGGTTGTCCTCAGACGTGGACGGGGTTCTCTTCGAGTGCATTTAAGGATCTTGGGTCAATGATGAAGATCTCTTTATCATCTGGTGTCATGCTTTGGTATTCAAAGTCAAATTCTTGACTTATCGTGTTGTTGCTTTAAGGGTTAATTGCGGACAGATCCCCTGCAGTACCATTGTTTTGAATTTATTACTACTCTATTTTTGTTGTTGCAGATAGAATCTCTGGGTGAACATTTTATTAGTCATTCCCCAGATGGTGTCTATTTGTACAGAAGAGTACACTCTTGCTCTGAGGGTAACAAAGTAAATATTTTCACCCAGGGCGTCTATCAGTGACAACAGAAGTAGAGTAGTAGTAAGTTTAAAACAAGAACACTACAAGGGGCCTATCCGCAATTAACCCTTCCTTAAACTGCATGCTCTTTTGGCGAAAAATCTTTTGAAGAAAGCTTTTCTAACTCAAACTTCCTAGGTCAAATATATCTGAAGAGCTTGACTTGTGGGGTCCACCCGCTAATGGTCTACATGCTCTAGAGCCTTGAATTAGGGAGCTCGAGTTAGAATAGAACTGTTCAAAAGTTTTGGTGTCATGTAACAAAATGGAAGAATTTTTTATAGTTATATGCAATTTCTTTTCAGTTTTTCACTTAAGCTTATTTGTTATTTTCAGTTTGGAGTTTTGGTACAACACAATATTGGTCCTGCTAACAGGACATATGCGAAATGCAGAGGTTGCTCTTGATGCACTTTCCATATGGTACTAATATGATTCCTGAAACTTGTAGTTTTCATATAATGTTTCATTTATTTTTGTTCTAAAATTTGTAGTTGTTTCTTATTAAAGTCTTATTGCTGCCCTTTTCTTTTCCATTGACATTTTCTCTTTTGCTTTCCATTGACATTTTCTCTTTTGCTCGACAGCCTCAACATTAATGGATGGGAGATGATGATTTCCTTTGGCTTCATGGCTGCCGCAGGGTACTCTTTGAAACAAAGCTTATTTAACATGCTTTCTTTTGCCTTTTATCCTTTTCATTGTTATTATTCTATATATACTTCTAAGTTTTCTTTATGTCCCTCAAATTGAATAGAAAAAAAAAAAACCATAACAGGAACATTTACAAGTGTAATAAAAACCTGAACATTGTTACTACATATTTTTCTTCCTTTACTCGAACAATTCGTTTATATTTCTTGGATTGATATATTGCTTTTCGAATTTTGCAGTGTGAGAGTGGCAAATGAACTTGGGGCAGGAAATGCAAAACGTGCAAAATTTGCAATTGTTAATGTGGTTCTCCAATCCTTAATTATTGGAACTGTTCTTTTCGTGCTTTTCCTTCTGTTCCGGGGGAGAGTTGCCTATATATTCACAGATAGCTTGAAAGTGGTCAAAGCAGTCGCCGATCTATCTCCTTTGTTGGCTTTCTCCATACTTCTTAACAGCGTTCAACCAGTTCTTTCAGGTACATAAATCACAATAAGGACTAACTTTAGAAGTTCTCGTATATAACTTGTCTTTTAACCATTATTGTTATTTACAGGTGTTGCAATTGGATCGGGTTGGCAGGGGATAGTAGCTTATGTAAACATAACGTGCTACTACATCATAGGAATTCCTGTTGGAATTGTGTTGGGCTATGCTCTTGATTTGCATGTTAAGGTATCGCTCATTTCTTTAGAGCTACCACTATTGAGATGTTTCGTCCTATTGGATAAGTGTGTAAAAAGTTTGTGTCCACTTTGCAGGGAATTTGGATTGGGATGTTGCTTGGCACAGCTATTCAAACTCTAGTACTTGTCTGTATCACCATAAAGACAGACTGGACTAAGCAGGTAAATATTTAAAAAGACCCTTTTCGTTCGATTCTAATTGAGATCGCAGATGAAGTTAACTTTGTATATCAGGTTCTATCTCTCCATATAGGAGGTGAGCTTTGTAAATGATTATTTGTATATGACATCAAAATAACCCATCATTAAAACTATTACTACACAGGAAGATAAATCATCTGGGGAAAAAAAATCATATAATTAACTACTAGCATAGAGGGTGAAGTAGTTAACCCCATGGACCTATCAGCCTTTCATCTTCCAATATTACAAAATAGTAAGTGAATTGTTGGGAAATTACTCAGATTTCCCTAGTGCCAGATTTAAGAGAGAGCGAAAATAAAATGCGCAAAATTGGGGGACACACAAGATTTACGTGGTTCGGCACAAAATTACCTACATCCACGGGCTGCTGCAGATCTTATACTGAAAGGGGGGAAATTACAAGCACTCTGAATATTGCTCTGATATTCTCACTGAGTACTCTCTCTCTCTGTTTTTCACTCAGAAATTACAAGCACTCTGAATATTGCTCTGATATTCTCACTGAGTACTCTCTCTCTCTGTTTTTCACTCACTGAGTTCTCTCTGGCTCAGTACTCTCTTGATATTCTCACTGAGTACTCTCTCTCTCTGTTTTTCACTCACTGAGTTCTCTCTGGCTCAGTACTCTCTTAGCCTCTCTACACAATTTCTCACCGACCCTTGATTGTTTCTTAGCAGTTGAAAGGATGATGAAATAAGGGAAGAGTGGGACCCTATTTATAGGTGCAGAAGCTCCTCCCTTCTTATTTTTTTCTTCCTCCCATTTTTTACTTTTGCTCCTGCCTTTCTCTTTCGGTGGCATGAGAAGTTTGAAAAAAAAACTTTCTTTTGTGTGCTTTCGGTGGTCTGCACACATTCTTTGACTAACAATCTCCCACTTGAAGACTGATTTTAATCTGTCTTCACACCTCGATCTATGCAGCAGCTCTTCCCGGTCTTCATACTATTGCAGGCCAACTGAAGCTGAACACAGCTTCAGTTTGTTAATAGTCACCGTCTTTGTCAGCATGTCTGCCGGATTTTAAGCTCCACTGATCTTTTCAAGCTTTAAAATTCCATCTTCCAGAAGTGACCGGATAAAATGATACCGCATCTGTATGTGCTTCGTTCTGGAATGAAAAGACGGATTCTTCGCTAGATGAATAGCACTTTGACTGTCGCAGTATAAAGCATTGTTTTCTTGTTTCTTGCCTAATTCATCCAAGAAACTTTGAAGCCACACCATTTCCTTGCTGGCTTCTGTAACATCGACATATTCTGCTTCAGTTGTGGAGAGAGCAACTATCTTCTGCAATTAAGAAGTCCAACTCACTGCAGTACCTCCTAGAGTATATACATATCCTGTAGTGCTCTTTCTGATATCAACATTTCCTACTAGATCAGCATCTACATAGCCTGTTAGTATTGTATCTCCACCTTTGAAACAAAGTGCTTTACCTGTGGTGCCCGTAGATATCTGAGGATCCATTTGACTGCTTCCTAGTGTACCTTGCACGGATCATTCATGTACCTGCTAACAGCTCCCACTGCTTGAGCAATATCTGGTCTTGTACAAACCATGGCATACATCAGGTGTACGAGACCTTCACCATATGTGCACGCTCTTCCTCTGTCTTCGGTGACTGTTCTTTAGAAAGTCTGAAATGAACACCTAAAGGTGTACCCACTGGTTTAGCATCTTGCATATTAAACCTGGAGAGTACTTTGTTGATGTACTCAGCCTATGATAACATCAATATCCCAGACTTCGTGTCTCTCTTGATCCTCATTCCAAGAATCTGCTTTGTGGCTCTAAGATCTTTCATTGCGAACTGCTTTGACAATTTCTGCTTCAAATTTATAATCTCTTGCAGATCTGATCCTGCAACGAGCATGCCATCAACATATAACAATAAAATAATGAAGCTATTGTCAAACCTCTTGAGATAGCAACAATGATCTGCTTGACATCTAGTGAAATCGTTGTTGCCCATGAAGTTGTCAAATTTCTTGTACCACTGTCTGGGATCTTGTTTTAATCCATACAAGCTTTTCTTCAAACGGCATACTAGATTTTCCTTGTCTATCTTTATGAAGCCTTCTGGTTGCTTCATATAAATCTCCTCCTCCAAATCACCATGAAAGAAAGCTATTTTTACATCTAATTGCTCAAGATGTAAATTCTCAGCAACTATAATTTTTAACACCAGTCTGATTGTAGTCAGTTTCACGATCGGGGAGAAAATTTCATTATAGTCAATACCTTCCTTTTGCTGAAAGCCTTTGACAACCAATCTTGCCTTGTAGCGCTTGTTCCCATCATGCTCTTCTTTGATCCCGTAAATCCATTTGTTATGAAGAGCTTTCTTACCTTGTGGTAATTCAGCTAAGTCCCATGTCTGATTTGACATGAGCGAGTCCATCTCATCTTGCATAGCAGACTCCCACTTGACTGAATCCTCCACCTGCATTGCTTCATCATAACACTCTGATTCACCACTGTCAGTCAGCAATAGATAGTGCAAAGAAGGCGAATAACGTTAGGTTGGCTTAGGAATTCTGGAGGAGCGTCTCACTTCTGGCGTGCTTGGTTCTTCTTGAACTGCTTCAGGGCTAGTCTGAACATCTTTTTCAGAAATCTCCTCAAATTCAGCAAATTCTTTTATTTCAGCTTTTGTACTGGAGCTACTTGATTCTGCAATTGATCTGTCTTTGTACATCACATTCTCATTGAATATAACATCTCTGCTTTTGATGATCTTCCGATTTTCATAGTCTCAAAATCGGTAACCAAACTCATCACCACCATAACCAACAAAAACACATTTGTTAGATTTGGCATCAAGTTTACTTCTTTCAGCAGAATCTATGTGTACATAAGAGATACAACCAAAGATTCTTAAATGTGAAAGGTTTACCTCTTTTCTGCTCCAAGTTTCTTCCAGTATTCCACCATCCAAGGGAACAGAGGGACCGCGATTGATTAGGTAGGTTGCGGTATTGATAGCTTCAGCCCATAGAAACTTGGGCAAGCCGGTATGTATCCTCATGATTCTGGCACGTTCATTCAAAGTTCTATTCATGCGTTCTGCTACGCCATTCTGCTGCGGTGTCATGGGAACTGTTTTCTCCATCTTGATCCTGCTGTTTGCGCAAAACTCTTTGAATCTACTGTCTTTGTACTCTCCTCCATTGTCTGACCTCAACTTCTTTATCTTCAAACCAGTTTCATTTTCCACCATGACCTTCCATTTTCTGAAGGTATCAAAGACTTCTGATTTCTTCTTTAGAAAATAGACCCACACCTTCATTGTAGAATCATCAATGAAGGTGACATAGTACAGTGAGCCTGCAAGAGATGAAACTGGAGATGGTTCCCATACGTCGGTATGAATCAATTCTAACCTTTCTGTCTTGGGTGTCTTGCCAATCTTTGCAAAACTGACTTTCTTCTGTTTGCCAAAGATGCAATCCTCGCATAGGCCGACATCTACATTCTTCAGATCCGGTAGCTTCCCTTTTGACAGAAGTGTCTTCATCCCTTTCTCGCTCATATGGCCAAGCCTTTGGTGCCATAGGTTTGATTTTTCATCTGCATCTGTTACTGCAATGATATTCTCTAAGTTAGAGGTTATATAGAGAGTACCACTTTTCTTACCTCGAGCAATGACGAGTGCTCCTTTGGTAATCTTCCATTCATGCCCCGAGAAGGTTGTACAATAACCCTCTCCATCAAGCTGTCCCACAGAGATCAAATTTCTTCTAAGACCAGGAATATGTCTCACTCCTTGCAGCTTCCATGTGGTCTGATTTGGTAATTTTAATCGGATGTCTCTCTTGCCAACAATCTTCAAGGTTTCATCATCTGCTAGATGTACCTTTTCGAAATCACCGCTGACGTAGTTTTCCATGATTTCTCGGCATGGAGTGGAATGAAAAGATGCCTCTGAATCAAGAATCCATGATTCAATCGGACTGTTGACGCTTAGAATCATAGCATCACCTTCTTCCTCGGTCACGTTGGCAGACTCCTGTGCGCCGGTGTTTTTCTTCGGTGCCCGGCACTCCCTTTTGAAATGACCCTTCTTGCCACAATTGTAGCACTTGAAGTCTTTCTTTCCTGATCTAGATTTGCTCCTTCTAGATTTTGATCTGCTGTGATTTGAAATTCTTTCTGAAGTTCTTCCCCTAGACTCCGTGTGTAAAGCTGAGGAGGTTGAAGCTTCACTTGATTCTCTCCGCCGAATTTCTTCACTAAGAATCAGATCACGAACGTCATCGAACTTTAACTTGTTACTTCCCGATGAGCTACTCACAGCTGTGACTGTAGCGTTCCAGCTTTCTGGTAGAGAAGAAAGAAGTATCAATGCTCGTACTTCTTCATCAAATTCAATCCCAACTGAACTCAACTGGGTTGTGACTATGTTGAGTTCATTGAGATGTTGAGCTGTCGATGCGCCTTCCGTCATTCGCAAATTGAACAGCCGCCTCATCAAGTGAACTTTGTTTGAGGCAGAGGGCTTCTCGTACATGCTGCAGAGAGCCGCCATAAGACCCGTCGTGGTCTTTTTCTTTGCTATGTTGAAGGCAACGTTGCGGGATAGCGTCAATCGGATAACTCCAAGGGCTTGTCTGTCGAGGAGAGCCCACTTTTCATCCTTCATATCATCTGGCTTCTTTCCCGAGAGAGGTTGATACAGTTTCTTTTGGTACAGATAATCTTCGATCTGTATTTTCCAAAAGCCGAAGTCCGCACCATCGAACTTCTTAATTTTCACCTTCCCTTCGTCTGCAGCCATCGCTCCTACTCGAATCTGATTTTCTCTAGATCGTTTCTGACAATTTCTGCGAACCACCTTGTATTAAGATACCTCTGCCGACAAGTCAGTACCGCCGGCAAAATTCCACTATTCACGAAATTTACTATTCACATGAATAGTAACCTTACAGAAATTTGACAGACGTCACAACCAGAGCTC